GAGTCCAAGCGCATGCCCAACTAGTCGCAGTTCCTCAAGGGCCACTTAGGTGCCTAACACTGCAGGTGACCTTAGTCCAAAGTGCCCAATCATGCCACAAGCGAACGCCCTTGATCATCACTTTTAAGCCACTGTCTCATCTCAGAGAGTGAGTTACACCGCTAGTCCGTCCCAGTGCCGGGCTTCGCCCCAAGGCGGGTTATACAGCGCGCTGGCTTTACGTCAGCGGCAACTGCCAACCTAGACAGCAACCCCGGTTTTCGTACACAATAAACCCTCCTCCAGGCAGCTTCCAGCATTACGCCCTTCTTATTGTGTAACTCCTTGGGATTCCAGAGGGCGTAATTCGACGGTGACACAGCAAAGAGTCACCGTTAAAACAAGATGAACATTGCCGACATAGACAAGGAAGACTAGATTGACCATTGCTGCCATTTTAGCTGTTATCAACATAAGAGTTAGAGCGCTGCCAATACAAGCGAACATATGACTCCCAGGAAGTAATTGAGAAGAAGAATGTATGATCGCTGATACAATATTTTTATTCGCCTGATGTTTCGAAGTCCGTCGCGGATTTTTCATCAAAGACATAAGCATACCCAGCAGCAGTTATAATTTTTGCTACTGTCTATGCTAATGTTTCTGATGTAAAATCCGCGACGGACTTCAAAACGTCAAGCGAATAAAAGTCTTATCCTAGCGATCGCATCTTCTTCTCTTCAGTTAAAGCGTTGACTGTCTAATCAAAATTTAGTAGGCTCTAGCATCGGGTGGTGCATCACTTGGGATCAGGTATGTCTGGTAGATGACGGCCAAAAAGTTAGAAGTGGCCACTAAAGTAAGAGTCGCTGTGCGTTTGTTAGCGGGGTAGGGTTTCCAAGTGGGGTCTTCGAAAGGTCCTTATGCATTCTAGCAACCTACTTAAATGTTTTAAGTAAAAGGACGAAGGCGCGATCTCTGGAACGATAGACGTTCTAGAGATCGCGTCTTCGTCTTCTTTACAACAAGAACCTGGGGCACGCATATTCGCTTCTATCCGTGTTTTAAGTAGGTTGAATTACCCATAATCTTCCAGTTTTCTAGATGCCATCCATCGATCCAGCAGGTATTTGATGATGGCATTGAACTGGAGAGTGGTCCTCCGAAGGTCACCGCATACCATACACGCTTAAGTCAGTATACGAAGCAAAATTAGCCTTTTAAATTACCAATGGGAATAATCACTTACTCAAAAATTTTAAGTGGGGTGATTTCCACAAACTTCCCACTTTTGTACTGCGTTAACCTTTTTTCTATTTGGTGTTGGTGGTACCACTAGAAAATATACCTCAATGACCTCGCCTGAGGTTAGGACACACTCCCCCGACATACACGCGCTCGCCGTTGGTCGGGCGGGGGGTTAGCGATGATATTAAAGCCCATTTCAGTG